AATTAAACAATTATTCCTCAATCTTTGTTGAAGTCATGCTTGGCTGAAACCTACAGGTTCCCCTGCCACTTTCTTTCCAATCATATGTTGAAGAAATCAGGCCATTTGTCCTGTTTCCCACAATTGGGTTTTGCCAGTTGGCATCCCTGTGGTATAATGTAACACAACCCCAATGTCCCAAAACTAGATTTTGAGGTCCAACCAAGCACACATCCCTCTGGAAGCATGTGCACCCTTCCTTGGGGGCTGGAAGCCACTGAGGTCCACTGTCTAGACCCACCATTTCATCAGATGCCTGCAAATGTATGAATTTATAATCCCATCGTTTCATATTAATTAGCCAGAATGTTAATAGCTACACGGTCCATTAGCCACATGTGGCTATTTAAAAAGATTTAAATCAAATAAAATTAAAACTTGACTTCCTCAATCACGATATTCCAGGTACCACACTGGACAGTGCGAGTAGAGGATTCCGGAAAATTCTGGCAGCACTGATCTATCTTCGAAGGAAACTAGCTCTTACCCCCTTTTTTGTTCCTTGCAAATACAGTCCATAGAGTAGAGGCAGGATAAATGCTTGCTTCTTTCCTTCTATCTACCAATTTTCAAAATGAGATGATTCCCTAACACCTTCCAAAGGGCACCAGTGAGTTTCTTCCTTTCCTATGAGCACCAATAGGAACCCTGGATTTTTTAATACATTTGATGCTCCAACTCAGGGACTAATTCTCATTCACATTTACCTGCCCCACCCTTGGTGGGGTGGAGGGGGGATTCCTTCTGACACAACTCTGGTACCATCTTATACAACTGGGACATTCCCAATGCAGATTTAGAATTAAAACATTTTCACTTAAGTATTTTGATCTTCTATTTGCATATGTCTTTCATCCTAAAAATTTTGGTTCTTTTTTGGGGGGGGGGCATAGTTCCCCAACCAAGGATCAAACCCAGGCCCCCAGCAGTGGAAGCGTGGAGTCCTAACCAGTGGACCACCAAGGAATTCCCAATTTTGGTTCTTAAAGACATCAATTACTTGTTTTCTCCTACAATATATAACAGTAAGACTATGGGCATTGTTGACCTGAAAGCAAAAATATGATTCCTAAAAACAGTTAAAGATTTTTTTCTAATTTTTGCCTTTATGGCATATCTCATAGCTTACAATCAAACTACTATGATTTAGGGAATTCCCTGGTGGTCCAGTGGTTAGGACTCTGCAATCTCACTGCCAAGGGCCTGGGTTCAATCCCTGGTCGAGGAACTAAGATCCCACATGCCACATGGCATGGCCCCCCAAAGAAAAGGAAAAATAAAAATAAAATATAGGGCTTCCCTGGTGGCGCAGTGCTTAAGAATCCACCTGCCAATGCAGGGTACAAGGGTTCGAGGCCCTGGTCCGGGAAGAACCCACGTGCCACGGAGCAACTAAGCCCACGTGCCACAACTACTGAGCCCACATGCCACAACTACTGACCCCGCATGCTACAACTACTGAAGCCTGTGTGCCTAGAGCCTGTGCTCCGCAACAAGAGAAGCCACTGCAATGAGAAGCCCGCACACCTCAACGAAGAGTAGCTCCCACTCGCCACAACTAGAGAAAGCCACAACTCGCCACAACTAGAGAAAGCCTGCGCGCAGTAACGAAGACCCAACACAGCCAAAAATAAATAAAATAAATTTAAAAATAATAATAAAATAAAATATAAACAAATACATATATCTATATCCCACTCCCACCGTTCCTTATGAGGGATAAAAGTGAGTGCAGTACATCTCTTTATCCTTCACCTTATAATTTTTTCTACTCATTTCACCCTAGAAATCCCATCACCATGACAAGAAGACACCCCTCCTTCCTCTGCTCAGGGGCTCGGCTCCACCCCACTGGCGATCCAGCCCCATCAGTCCCAGGCCCAAATGACAAACATCTAAGTTATTTCCAGTTTTATACTTCAGAATGTTATAATGAACAGTCTTGTCACAATCCTTATTTTTGACAGTCTATCTTTGGCATACATTTCTAGAAGTGGACTTGCTGGAGCAAAGGGTAAGCAAATCCCCCTCCGAGGAGTTGTGAACCTCCAAAAGCAACATATGGTGCTGCGTGATTCCCACCAAGAGAATGGTGTCCACCTTTCAAGACAAAGGGTCAGAAATATCTTAGGGAAGCTCCAAAGAGCATTATTCTTAGTATCAGAAAAGACTGAGTATCTTTTATGCCTTGGTTAAGGGTCATCTGCATTTGCTTTTCCTGTTCGTTTTTCTGTAAGTCACACCCATTTTTGATCCTTAACACCAAGCACAAGGCCAGTCTCTCAGCACGCGAGCAGTATACGTAGCTGCTGAACGAACAGGACCCAACAAGCAAAATTCAAGGGTGGACACCAATTCCATTAGCCCAAGCAGGCAGCCTGACCCTCAGTATTCACACTGACAGCCACATACACTGTGAGGGCATCGTGTGGGGGCTGTGTATGCGCCTCAAGACTCCCCAGGACCCAGCCCTCCTCCTGCCTTGCTCTTCCTCTGTGCCGGGAGTCCTGGGCAGCAGGAATGGGGAGGCCTCAGCTGACTTTAGGCCATGGTTCAACTGAAAGTGGAACAATCAATCTGCTGAGCTGACTTACACCCACAACAAAAAGTACACAAGCTGACATATTTATACATCTCTTAAAAATAACTGCTCAGGGAATTTCCTGGTGGTCCAGGGGTTATGACTCTGTGCTCTCACTGCCAAGAGCCCAGGTTCGACCCCTGGTCAGGGAACTGAGATCCCACAACGCAGCCAAAAAAAAAAAATTGCTCAAGGGTGTTTTTGCCTGTTTGACATCGATCACCATCTGCCACAACCATTCACAGACCATCCTTTCCCGTCAAGCCCCTTCACTCACCGGGTACAGAGAGGCAGGGCCAGAGGGAACACCTGAGGGGGCTTCCAGAAATTCCCTCCGGAATCACCAAACTAACTGCTTTGTAATGCTCTGGCTGTGTCTTCCTTGTTGACCCTGTGATAGGAAAGGAGCAGTTTTCTTTCATTCATTCATTCATTCACTCAGCAAGTACTTACTGCTCGGACTATGTACTTCCTAGTTAACAAAGGGCCCGGCAGAGGTGGGGTCACCCAGCCGAGGACCTCAGAGAACCCTAAGCCAGCCCGCGGCCTTCAGACAATGCCCTGGGCTATAGGATAAGGGATGATCACTCACCCCTCTGTGCTGCAGGTAAGACCTTGTCAAGACGTAAAGTACCACAATTTTCCAACACTAACGTCCAAAGAGAGCCTGTTGACAACCAAGCGCCAAACCCACTTTCTAGGTGGCTGGCTCACTGCATGCTGCCACCAGCACCAGGTAACGAGCACTGTCAACACCGATGATCCTCAACTAGCCTAGGAAACCGGCACAGACTTTGAGTCATTTTTTGTCTCCAGAGAGCTCTGGGGGCCTGGGGCAGGGCTGGGGGGGGATGTAAAATGGTGCAGCCACAATAACAACAGTCTGGCAGTTCCTCAGAATATTAAAGACTCATGACCCAACCATTCCACTCCTAGGTATATATCCAAAGGAAGTGAAAACAAGTCCACACAAATTTGTGTACATAAATGTTCACAGCACTATTCATAATTACCGAAAGGTGGGAATAGCCCAAATCTATCCCAGATGAATGGATAAACAAAATGTGGTCTATCCATTCGATGGAATATACTCAGCCACAAAAATGGATGAAGCACTGACTCATGCTACAGAGTGGATGAACCCTGAAAACTTGCTGAGTATGAGAAGTTAAACACACAAGGTCATAGATATTATGTGATTCCATTGATATGAAATGTCCAGAACAGGCAAATCCATAGAGATAGAAAGTAGATTAGTGGTTGCCAGGGGCTAAGGAAGGGAGATTGGAGAGGGACTGCTAATGGGTGTGGGGTTTCTTTTGAAGGTGATGAAAGTGTTCTGGAACTAGATAGACGTGATATTTGTACAACTCCTGAATATACAAAAACATCACTAAACTGTATACTACAAATGGGTGAATTATATGGTATGCAAATTATCTCAATTAAAAAAAAAATTATTATTTTTTTTAATACCAGTAAAGTTTGTTTTTGCTGGGTAAACATTCTGGAAATGTTTTCCTGACACCAGGATTACCTGACCATGCCCATACTATCATCTCGCTAAATGCAGATAAGAGCTGAAACCTCACAAACCGACCCCCAACCCTTGTCACATACCTTGCTCAGCCCAGCAGCCAGTTCTTACCCTGTGCAGCTGTGACACTGTTTGAAGGGCATACACCCCTTGGAAAGTAACCAGCCAGCTGGCCTATAAGAGGAAGCAGCTAACCAACCCAGGAGGTCTCTAAGCTATCTCCGTATTCTAAGACGTCTCTCAGTCCTACATTCTTCTCCAGGTAGGCAGCCCTGGCCCAAAACATCACTGGCCTGATAGTAACAGACAAAATCCCACCTGGGTTTTGGGCTCTGTCATGCTGGGTCCCGAAAGCCCTGGACAGAGTCTCCACCTGAGAGCCCTAAGCAGTAGGGGATGGCTCAGTTTCCCCATAGGCACGGGGTGCGGTAAGGGCAATGAGCTCCAAGCACTGATGGTTAAGGATAAATTCTAACGGTTTCTGTCAGCATTGGGAAATCACAGGAATGGCCAGAGGGCAAAGGTCACTTGGCCAGGATTATCCTCTGCCCCTGATGCTCACGGAGGACAGTTCATCCTACTTGGGCCTGGCCTTTTCAAACGAGCGACCCCTGAGATGCAACAGGAGAGCAAACGGCCATCCTGGAGGAGGCAGGGCCTGGGCAGCCCTGTGGAGATGGCCCAATGTGCAATCCCAGAGGTACCTGTCTTCCTCCTCCTCCTCTAGGAGGTGGCCATCAGCTTTTAAAGCAGTGTTCTGTTTCAAATGTCCAAGGACCTGAATAAGGCCTATTGGGTAAGTTAGTGCCTCCATTCCACAGATACTAGATACTACATACTCACCTGGCTTCTGGGCATGGGACGGTGGTCCTACCAGCCGGCCATGGTGGGAGCTATGTCAAAAGGCAACTCCGTCAACGTGCTGGCCAACCTAAAGCAAAGAACAGAGGAAGAAACACTGAGTTTCCAAGGAAAATTTCTGGAATGTACAGACAGTTTTAAATGTCTCCAATCCCTGGAATTGCAAAATTCTAGATTTCAAACAGAGCTCTGTGTCTGCTACCTTCCAAGGGAGGGCAAGCTGAGGAAATCAATTTCTATCAGTCTCTGATGTATGACCCAATAAGGTGCACTAACCAATAAATACTAACATCTCAAACACTACAGATCTCATCTTTAGCAATATGGATGAAGAGGTGGTACACAACCACAAGCCAACATACTGAACACATAGAAAACACTTCAAGGTTTTGATGATAATGGTAATGACATTAACAGCAGAAATAGAAATACTAGCATTTAATAGATGTTTAGTAGTGAGTTCCAGGTACTATGATACGATTCAGCATCTCTTTGAATCCCCAGGACAATCTTAGGGATAAGTTACACAATCACCCTCATTTTACACATAAGGGATCTGACATGTCTGATATTCAGGAACTTGCCCAGGGCCACCCAGGTCTCCCTCTCCAGAGATGACCTCTCCCCTCCCCAGTGCCCACTCCCCAACATAGACCCCAAGGAAACCACCCACCATTACAGGCAGTACAGAGTTTGCCCTCAAGAAGCTGAGGGCATGAGGTGCCCAGGGATGGACAAAATTCATCTCCCACATGGAGGCGGCTTCACCGCCATAGGGCAACTAGAAGTTTCACCCAGGGATCAACTCCAAAGGTCTTACACTGCCCAGGCAGAAAGAGTCTGCCTGTTTCACAGATAGGAAAACTAAGGCTCAAGAATGTTTAGGAACTCTCCCAAGGTCCCAGAGATAGCATGGTCCCAGAACTTCCCCTCCTTTGTGACATCAGATGTCCAGGCCTCTGGGCACAGAGACTGAACCCAGTGAACCAGCCAAATCTCAGACTCCCAGGCAGTTGTCAGTTGTAGCTTGCCAAATATTGTCAATATCACCTCTGTTGTCATTCTTTGCACCCACATGACTACCAGGAGCTTGCTCTGATATGAAAACTTTATTTTTAAGCTGGGTTCACAGCAATTCACAGCTCATGGATGGCGAGAAACACTCCCACAGGAGAACTTGCAAAATAAGCAAATATCAGTGAACCCTATGCAAAGACCTTTGGGAACCAAGGAGCACACAGCATCCTCCTCAGTGAGGGCCAGGGCTGCTACAGCCATCACCAGGGCTATCTCCTAGGGAGAGGGGCCCTTTCTGCCACTCTTTTTGGCCCCATTCAGGCTGGGAAATGCAGTAGATGCCATGAATCTTAGTTCTCTCTCTCTCTCTCTTTTTTTTTTTTTTTTAATATTTACTTAGTAAGGCTGCGCCGGGTCTCAGTTGCAGCACATGGGATCTTCATTGCAGCACGTTTAGCTGCAGCACGCGGGCTCTTAGTTGCGGCATGCGTGTCAGATCTAATTCCCCAACCAGGGATCAAACCCAGGCCCCCTGCATTGGGAGCGCAGAGTCTTACCCACTGGACCACCAGGGAAGTTGCAATCAGAGTTCTTTTACCTCCCAAGCCAAGGCCTCTCTCTGCCATGGAGGGGGAAACCTCAGAAAGTAGGGGTCCTGGGCTTTTCCAAGCACCTACTCTCTTCAGGATCAAGGGCAATATACAAAAGTCAGTGGTATTTCCACACAATGGCAACAACCAACCAAAACTCAAAGCTCTTAAAAAAAAAATCAATTAATACTACCATAAATGTGAACTACTTAAGGATAAATCTGATCTTTTAAAAAAATGTGCAAGACCTGTAAGCTGAAACTACAGTAAGACGTCGCTAAGAGAAATGAAAGAAAACCTAAATAAACAGAGAGATATGACTTTTCCATGGGTCAGAAGGTGTCAATTCTCCCCTAAATTGATTCATAGATTCAAAGCCCCAATCAAAAATTGCCAGCATGGGACTTCCCTGGTGGTGCAGTGGTTAAGACTCTGCCTGACAATGCAGGGGACACAGGTTCGAGCCCTGGTCCGGGAAGATCCCACATGCCGCGGAGCAACTAAGCCCGTGCGCCACAACCACTGAGCCTGCGCTCTAGAGCCGCGAGCCACAACTGCTGAGCCCACGTGCCACAAATACTGAAGCCCACGCGTGTAGAGCCCTTGCTCCACAACAAGAGAAACCACCACAATGAGAAGCCTGCGCACCACATCAAAGAGTAGCCCCCACTTGCCACAATTAGAGAAAGCCCATGTGCAGCAACGATGACCCAACGCAGCCAAAAATAAATTTATTTATTAAGAAAAAAACCTGCAGGCATGTTTTGCCGGAAAAAACAGACTGATTCCAAAATTTATATGGAAATGCAAAGGACTTAGACTAGTGAAATACTGAAAAAGAGAAACAAATTTGGAAGACTTACCTAACCTGACTTCAAGACATACTGTATGTAAAGTTAACAGTAGCCAAGAGAGTATGATATGAACATAAAGACAGACAAGTAGACAGATGGAACAGAAAACACCCATGCACATGTGGACAAATGATTTTCAACAAAGATCCAAGTACCCTAATTCCGTGAGACCACAAGACACACTGGACATTCTCCTGAAGGGTTAACCTGCGAGGAAGGTGACCTTAATCTGTTATCATAATGCATACAGTGCATCATGGGGCAGTATGCAACATACAAGAAGTTTTAAGGTCACCTCAGACTTTCACCCTCCACCACAGCTTTCCCCACCTCAGCTCATGGTAAATTCAGTCTTTCAAGATGCTCAGATTAAAATCTGGAGTTGCCTTTTTTTTTCTATTTTGTGTGCGCCATGAGGCATGCGGGATCTTAGTTCCCCGATCAGGGATCAAACCTGTGCCCCCTGCATTGGGAGCGAGAAGTCTTAACCACTGGACCGCCGGAAAGTCCCTTTTTTTTTTGGCTGCACTTGCCTTCTTGATAGGACTACCCATCATCCAGTCTGCCAGGAAATCCTACTGATTTTGCCATCAAACACATCTGGGGTCCCACCACTTCTCACACCTCCACTTGCCACACTATCCTCCCTTAATACGACAGAGGTCTGCAAACTGGACCCCCTGCTTTCATTCCTCAGCTCGAAACCTTCCAAAGGCCCTGCAATCGCTCAGAGTGAAGCCCCATCCTCTCTTGACATGTCCACCCTCCTCCAGCCATGCTGGCCTCCAACACACCAGGCACCCTCCCACCTTGGGGTTCTTCAAGGTTTTCAACAAAATCCCCGATACTTTGTAATTTTAACAATCGATTCTTCAATTTGCATCCCAAGTTGAAAATGACCTTTGAAAACATAACTACCATACAATAATCTCTAAATGTCAACAAATGCCCAGTCCATATTCAGCTTCACACAATTTCCCAAAAACGTCTGTACACAGCCTGTTCTAACAGTAGTTGCTAGCCTTTGTGCTAGCATTTGTGCTAGCTGCTCTCTGCCTCCATCACTCTCCCCCACCATGGCTGTCTCCTCCGTGTACCCCCAAGTCACTGCTCAAATGTCTCCCTCAAAGAGGCCCACCCTGCTCACCCTGCCCTTTCTCTGCCACAGCCCTGGCCCCTCCTCAAACTCCACACAACACAGCTACTGTATCTATGGACTTTCTCACCTGGCAAGAACATAAATGCCACAAGGAAAAGGGTGTCTGCCTGGTGCCTGATATCATTTCAAGCACCTCCAACAGTGTCCGGTGCTCAATAAATATTTATAGAATGAATGAGCAGATGGTTTAACATTGAGGGAGAAAGAACCAATCTGAAGAGTTCACACACCAACAACCCCTTGATACAATTAGAGCAAAATTCACAAAGGAGCAGAAACCAAGCAGAGACCACTTAGCACCATCAGGATTGGGAGCATTTCTCTAAAATAAACTGTAATCACTTTCCACTGGTATATCATTTCGGTTGCTGTGCCATCTACCCCACACTGGCTGGGTTTAGACAGCTTTTACTGTTTTTATTTCCAACCCATATATTTAAAACAGTATCAAGTAACCCTTAAGTACACAATTACCAACTCATAAGAGACTCTTCCACTCCCTTGATAAATCATTATGGTTTGGCTTTGACCCTGCACCTGGGTACTCCACTTACATGCATACACACACAACACCCCGAATCTTCGACCTACCCAAACAACAATTTCCCAATCTGAAGGAGATCACACTTGGTAAGGAGGCAGTGATTGGTGGTTTACATGAAATCAAGTCACTGCACTTTGGGCAACGAAAGTCCACTGTTGCCACTTCATCCTCTCCAGCTCAGGCAAGAGAGGTCCACTCCCTTTTAACTTGAGGGGAGGAGCCCCCGGCCAGACACGGGCTGCTGTCTAGGGAGCTCCAGTTCCTTAGAGACGCTTCAGCTGCAATGCCCATGGCCAGCCCAGGGACAGCTCTCAGAGGCCATGGGCACCTGATGGGGAAGCCTGGGCTCTCCGAGGTGCCCCCCAGAGGGCCCCATCATCCCTTCCGAGGCCTGGCCCTATGGAAGCTGCACACTTCTGATATCCTCCTACCACCGTCTGCACTCACCAAACGCTTGCCCAGTGTTTTACCACTCTGGCTCTAATCCAATCCCGGGAACATATTAAGCCAAAAAACCTCCAAGATGAAACCCAGCAATAATACTATTCACCTTCTCCTACCCCTAGGTCCACAAAGTCCACTTGTTCCACACAAAATGAGCACCCCACCCAGACCCTCTCTGCCAACAGTCTTAGCGACTGTACTGCTAACTGTCAAGGAGAGGAAGTCCCCAGCTAGCTCTATGAGAAAGGGAGAAACTGAGGCAGGGCAACAGTGGATCATCTCAAGGAAGCCCAGAGGTCACACTGCTCCAACATGCGCTGGCTGGTTAGGGAAAGATTAACTTGGGTCAGAGTCAATTCCCTAATCCAAGGGTCGGCAAACTACTGCCTGGGCCTGTTCTGGCGAATGGCTTTCCTGGGACACAGCCACGCCCACTCAAGTTTGCACTGTCTCCAGCTGCTT